AATATATGAACAGAGGAAAATGAAGACCTGTTTAAGAAAGATTTACAACCTACAACACAATATTTCAGTAACTTTAAAACCTTTTAAGGCCTACAATTTGGATTTTGAGATTTAAGACATTTTAAACTTAAGACCCTGCAGAAACCCTGCATTTAACTAGGTTAATTAGGCAAATTAGAGCAATAAGGCAAGTCATTGTACTGTATAACAGTGGGTTGTTTTGTAGACAATTGAAAAAAAAAATCACGTTAAAATGGATTTAAAAAGTTAAAAACTGCTTTAATTCTAGAAGAAATAAATCAAACAAGACTTTGTAAAGAAGAAAAAAAAATTTAAGGAAATACTATAAAAAATTCCTTGCTCTGTTAAACATAATTTGAGAAATATTTAAAAAAGAAAAGCAAAATTCACACATTAAAAAAATAAAAATAAAAAAATTATATATATATATATATATATATATATATATATATATATATATATATATATATATACTTATTTATTTATTTATTATTTATTTATTTATTTTATTTATTTATTTTCATTTATATATATATATAAATACATTGATAAAATATAGATACATTGATAAAAAATTGCCATCATAACATGTCTACACAAAGTAACAAAACTCAAATCTGAGTTTGGAAGTTAGCTCATAACATAAATAAAACGACAGCATTTTGCTCAGGATTAATTCTGCAAAACTTCACACCTTAAAGTAAAACAAAAAGTATTGCCTGTTCTGCGTTTAATGTGATGTAAAGTTAAGAAGAAAAAAAGAGAGATAAAAACAAGAGGAGGGCTTTAAATCAGGACAGGGTGCTGCCATTCCTATCTGAAGCTCAATTAAGAGCTTCTGTCCGCCAGCTTCTTTTCCAAGCCGTGAATTATTTATCCTTGAATTGTTAATAAATAATAACACAGGGCTCAAGGGACCCTACCCGGTCAATTAGGCAGTGGAGAGGGGTGAGTGTGAGCAGCGGGGGTCCGACGCATTATTAACATCAGTGCTATCTCTCACTTTCTTCATCTTCATTATAACACTCGCCGTCAGACACAATAATGCCCTGATACAATGCCTGACTTCAAACAGCCCGATACTCATATACTCACCTTCTTCTTTTGCTCTTTTTTTGTGAATTCCTTGTTTTTTGCCCTCTTTTCTCCAAGCTCTTCCAGACCAGCTCCCACTTTCTGATGACAGATGTTCGAGATTTGTTCATTACTCATATTTCTGAAATTAAAAGGAGAGCTTGAATCATTCATGCATTAGATAGATAGATAGATAGATAGATAGATAGATAGATAGATAGATAGATAGATAGATAGATAGATAGATAGATAGATAGATAGATAGATAGATAGATAGATAGATAGATAGATAGATAGATAGATAGATAGATAGATATCACGACATGACAGATAGATAGATATAGAACAAAAGGATAGATAGATAGATAGATAGATAGATAGATAGATAGATAGATAGATAGATAGATAGATAGATAGATAGATAGATAGATAGATAGATAGATAGATAGATAGATAGATAGATAGATAGATACCTGTAGATAGATATCACGACATGACAGATAGATAGATATAGAACAAAAGGATAGATAGATAGATAGATAGATAGATAGATAGATAGATAGATAGATAGATAGATAGATAGATAGATAGATAGATAGATACCTGTAGATAGATATCACGACATGACAGATAGATAGATATAGAACAAAAGGATAGATAGATAGATAGATAGATAGATAGATAGATAGATAGATAGATAGATAGATAGATAGATAGATAGATAGATAGATACCTGTAGATAGATATCACGACATGACAGATAGATAGATATAGAACAAAAGGATAGATAGATAGATAGATAGATAGATAGATAGATAGATAGATAGATAGATAGATAGATAGATAGATAGATAGATAGATAGATAGATATCACGACATGACAGATAGATAGATATAGAACAAAAGGATAGATAGATAGATAGATAGATAGATAGATAGATAGATAGATAGATAGATAGATAGATAGATAGATAGATAGATAGATAGATAGATAGATAGATAGATAGATAGATAGATATCACGACATGACAGATAGATAGATATAGAACAAAAGGATAGATAGATAGATAGATAGATAGATAGATAGATAGATAGATAGATAGATAGATAGATAGATAGATAGATAGATAGATAGATAGATAGATAGATAGATAGATAGATAGATATCACATGACAGACAGACATAGAACCACATGATAGATAGATAGATAGATAGATAGATAGATAGATAGATAGATAGATAGATAGATAGATAGATAGATAGATAGATAGATAGATAGATAGATAGATAGATAGATAGATAGATAGATAGATAGATAGATAGATAGATAGATAGATAGATAGATAGATAGATAGATAGATAGATAGGCAGGCAGGCAGGCAGGCAGGCAGGCAGGCAGGCAGGCAGGCAGACAGACAGACAGACAGACAGACAGACAGACAGACAGACAGATAGATAGATAGATAGATAGATAGATAGATAGATAGATAGATAGATAATGAGAACACACTAGGTGCGTTCGACTTCATGCAGCGCTGCGCAGATCGATCGAAATCTGTCTTAAAGCGGTGCATTCTGGTTAGAAATCTTGTCCGGATTGATGCTGCGCCGACGCCACGTGACTGTCACATGTGGCATCAAAGTACCGCGACAGCGCTCCGAGATCAGACGGCAAACTCAGACCATGCAGCTTCTGAAGAGCGACTGCAGGAGCTTTGATGACGACACCGATATTACACGATTGGCCGAGTTCACCACATGACAACAAACACGTGTATTTCGGGTTTATAATTGGACAAATTCCGATTCAAAAGTTTCAAAACAAACAATTCACTTTTCACACCCTCTCTATCCTGTACACATCTTGCTTATTAAAAGACTACAAATATTTTACTGCAGTATCATCTTTTGTTAAATAATCTGGTTATAAAGGTTAGCTTGTTTGCACAGGTTTATTTTTTAACTTTTTTTTATACAGACTATTTACTGCATTCATCTCCATGAACGATTTAAATGATATATTTTAGTGTATATTTTAGTGAATAACCTAAATATGAACTCAAATAAGTCTTACAGACTTGAAATAAGAAAATCATCATCATTGATCCTGCCACCCTAAAGCTCTCTTAACAAATTAAAGTAAAGAACTATTTTATTAAATAATTATAAAATGGCTTTATTATTATAATATAAATATGTATTTTATTTCCTGTTTAGCAGCTTAAAGGCGACCTGCTCTTTCTGGGAAACTTCTACATCGCTCACTTATTTTACCTTTTGTTCTTTTCAACACAATCTTTTTGGATTAAAATGCTTTTTTGAAAATTCATTCATTATCCAAAATAATGTCATTTATTAAGACCTAATCAAAACACCTTGTTTTGCTTTTTACATGGGAAATTTTTATATCTATAAATGTACATAAATGTACATGTAAACCATTTTTTTAGCAGATTCAAACAAGAAGTATTAGCCTAAAGAGTGATGTTTAACTCCTAGAATTTATGCTTATTGCTTTGTATTTAATAGACCTGTTCGTTTTTATGTTTATATTAACCTCTCATTTCCTCTTATTTCTCTCATGCATTTGTTATATATTTTATTCATAATTCTCCCTTATTGTTTAAAAAGGAACTATAGTTTGTAGAAACTGTATTCTGATTTATTTGTAAATGTTTTGTTGTTATAAATAAAAATAACAAAAAAATATGATGACGCCATGTGATCGGTCATCATGACTGCAGCAACTTTGAGTCCCGAAGTGTCCAGCTGTCCGTCTTGACGGCTCCGTTTTGAACTCCGCCCCGCCTGCGCTCGGCTAATCTCGTTGATCACCGGCTGCAGCTGAGCTTCATGTCGAACGCACCTATTATGATGATTATCTACCGTTTAAAATGAGTAAATCAGTTTGGTTGCCATGTTTTTCATAGTCACCTGCGTAAGTCTTGTGACTTCTGGAATGCAAATAAACTCACCAAAACTGTGTTTCATTGTATCAATAAACACATATGTTCAATGATATTTCGAATAAAATGGTCAGTGTTATTAAACCCACATCACGCTAATCGATATAGAGCACGCGCATTGAAAACCTTCTTCCGGTTAACGTTAATTTCAGCAAAATGTAGCGCTTGATATTGATAAATAGGTTTGATAATTTTAAGTCATAATCAGAATTATTGTAACTTATAAACACACCAGTTTAACCTTGGTTGAAATGTTCGTAAGGAAGTACGTGTAACGTTAATGTTTTCTGAATTATAGTCAGAATATAACAAATCCTTGAAATAAGCGTTGAGAAATATATTTAAGATCTAAAAAACTGATAATTTATCGACTGTCACCTTTTTAGATCAACGATATGTGATGTCCCTCCGAAAAAAAAGTCTTATTTTTCAGTGAAATATAGATAGATCTCACACCCAGTGGAGTTTTGATAGTTTACACTCGAGGCTAATGTCCGGTGTTTCCACTAGAGAGCGCTGTAACTTTTCATGAAGGAATGATCGTTTTCATCCATTCATTTTCCTTTCGGCTTAGTCCAGGCGGGGTCTCCAAACTCCAAACAGGAGGGCCGGTGTCCTGCAGATTTTAGCTCTAAGGTGCCTCAACACACCTGCAAGGATGTCTCTGGAAAGCCTAGTAAGAGCTTGATTAGCTAGCCCAGGTGTGTCTGATTGGGGTTGGAACTAAACTTTGCAGGACACCTGGCCCTTCAGGACCGAGTTGGACACCCCTGGCTTAGTCCTACTAATCAGGGGTCACCACAGCAAGCGGAATGAACCGCCATGATCGTTTTATGTGTGATATTATTAATATGATGCATGTGTTACAACATAATGTGTGTGATATTGCATTTTTTAAATTGTCACTTTAACAACTGTCATATAACCCAATAAAATGGTCCATCTGAAACCATTTATTAGTTTATTATTACTGTATCAAGAACCAGCTGTTTTGTAACAGAATACTACTGTGCAAAATTGCTGACAATCTAAATGTGTTCTTCTTTCATATATCTAAGTCATATATCAGTAGTTTATTATTATTATTATCATTATTAGGGTACATGTGACCACCTAGACCACAAAACCAGATTTATACATGACAAGATGAATAAATAATCTTTCCAGTGTTGTATATTTGACTGAGATATTCCTATAAGAAAATCTGAAATCTGAGAGATCCCAAAAAATCGAAATACTGAGAAAATTACCTTTAAAGTTGTCCAAATGAAAAGATTTGAGACAATACATGAGCTTTGATATGTTTACAGTAGGAAAAATGTACATTCTAGAGTTATCTTCATGAAACAGTATCAAATTAGATTTTTGTTGTGATAAAAATCGATTATTTTGACCCACACTAGTATTCGTGTGTATTTTAGTAATTTACCAGTGTGACATGAGACTAGTTTTATGGTCCAGGCTCACACATTACACACATTTGTGTAAAGTAACATTGTACAAACACACAAAAATAAGAATTAAAAAACTCTATTAGTGATAAACTGTGTAACTCAATCACACACACACTCAGTCATGTTCACACACACATTCCTTCATTCATTCCCTGTAACATTAGTATTGCACAACTTCATCAGTCTCCAACTGTTTATCTCTTCTTCATTCTAGAGTTTTTTTGTCGCTCCACGCTAAAGACTTTCTCTTGGCGAGCTCCATCCAGGACGGCTGAGCTCCAACGGCATCTGCTGGAGATGAAGGTGATGATGATGACGATGATGACGTTGCTGGAGGAGGATCAGATGTGATGGTAAGAGCTATTGTAGGAAAATACATGCACACACATTAATATCAACACCACTAACATTAACACATAACAGTTAAAGCGGTGTTTACCTTCGGTGTTGCTGTTAGGTGGAACAGGTCTTGCATTGAAATCCATCTTACTAATAGTCGCTGTTCTCTTTGTCGTGTCATCTTCGGTGGTATTGTTCCTACTGTTGTCCTGCTAACAGAATACATTTCCTTTTAATGTATATTTTTGGATCAAAGCTTAGATGTTGTTTAGTGCAGCACGGTGGCTCAGTGGTTAGCACTGTTGCCTCACAGCAAGAAGGTCGCTGGTTCGAGTCTTAGCTGTACCAGTGGGTATTTCTGTATGGAGTTTGGATGTTCTCCCTGTGTTGGTGTGGGTTTCCTCCGGGTGCTCCCCACAGCTCAAACACTAGCTTTAGTTGAATTGGGAAAGGTAAATTATCCGTAGTGTATATGTGTGAATGAGAGTGTATGGGTGTTTCCCAGTGATGGGTTGCAGCTGGAAGGACATCCGCTGCATAAAACATGCTGGATAATTTGGTGGTTCATTCCGCTGTGGTGACCCTAGATTAATAAAGGTACTAAGGCGAAAAGAAAATGAATGAATGATTTATTATTATATTTTATTATATTTGTTATTATGCATCTGTACATTTTGTTGTCTAAGGATTATTTCTTTCAGTGTACATCCTGTATATTAAATATTTTTATTTTTTTATTGTTGTTATTATTTATGTAATATATAAAATGATGGCATATACAGTCATCGCTTTTTAATGTTTCAATTGATTTGATTTAGGAAAATAAAGTAAAAGCATTAATAATCTGAAAAAATATGAATATTTAAATTAAAATTTTAAAGTTTACTGCATTTTACAATTATTATATTCACACATTTCTTAAAGTTGAATAAATTTTCTTCAACAGAGACATTTATATTGTTAAAAAATGACAATTCTATTTCAGATTAAATGTTTAAATTATTAAAAATTCCTGAAAAAAATAATAATAATTTCCTCAAATATATATTAAGATATATTAAGCTATAAAATCTGTCAATTTAAAGATTGAAAAGTTGCTTTATTATTGAATTAAATGCACCTTTACTGAATAAAAATATGATTTTCTTTAAAAATATCTCTCACCCCCATACCTTTAGAATGTCATAATTTGCAGTTTACACACAATTGAATGTATTTTTGCACAATATAGAAAAAATATTGACATTAGAAAAATTTATGTGGTATGAAAACAATTTGACCAGATTTGAGAAGCGTAATTTGGAAATAATAAAAAATATAATAATTCTATTATTTGAAAAATAAAATATAAAAAAACAATTGGATGCTGTATGCTAATGTTTGGACATTAACATCTGAATGCAGAATTATTAATAGACCTGAGGAGATTTCTCTGCATGAAAGTCTCATGAATGGCAGATTATCCTGCTGCTGTTAGGAAATTAAATATGACAGAACTGTGGAGGATGTGTCAGGATTGACAGGGCTCATTACTAAGCAACATAATGATCTGTTAATGAGGAAGTATTACGTCCTAAAGCTTGCATACTCTTCTGTTATACACTCAAAAGGACATACTTTTAGGGCATAGTATGAGTATGCAAATTAGGACGCAACAAGTGTGTGTGTAATCAGAGGGAATAAGGAACTGGTGTGCATGAGGTGCATGATGTTATTTGTAGTCCGGTTAAGTGACAGATCTGTAGTTCTCCAGTGATCTTCAAGCATTAGATCATTGGTGATCATGACAGTGCCTAATTACTCTAACTTGCCTAGTTTATCCTAGTTAAGCCTTTAAATGTCACTTTAATCTGAATACTAGCATCTTAAAAAATATCTAGTAAAATATTATGTTCTGTCATTATGGTAAAGATAAAATAAATCAGTTATTAGAAATGAGTTATTAAATCTATTATGTTTACAAATGCGTTAAAAATATCTGCTCCTTGTTAAACAGAAATTTGGGGATAAAATATACAGTGGGACTAATAATTCTGACTTCAACTGTATGTTAGCTCAATGTGTTTTGCATTCTTCTGTTTACCGGCTTGTCTTTTGGTCCCGCGGGTGTTGGTTTAACAGCAGGTTTGTGTGCGCTCTGTTGGCTGCTGCTCTGGATTGGCTGTGTTTTCAGTGGATGAAGCACAGTGGTGGTCAATGTCTGTGTTTTAGGCTGTAAGGCTGGTTTGGTAGCCTGTGCGGGAGGTGAAGGTTGAACCGATGACTGGTTTGTAGAGAATCTGCTCATTAATGGCTGGTACGCTCTGGTTTTCTCCCTGGCAAGACTCATCCAATCTGGCTCGGCCTCTTTACATGTCCCGGTTGTATTTTGGATGGACGATCTTCCGTCTGTAAGACAAAACTCAAGTTTATTAAAGGGAAAGTTCAGCCACAAATTTGAATTGTCCACTGTTTACTTGCTTAATGAGTTTCTGTTGAACACTAAGAAGATTATTTGAAGAATGATGACAACCAGTAACCAGGGCTTAATTTGTGCTGGAACATGCCATATTTTACAGACACCTCAATTTACCGATCGCCCTCCTCAACCGCCCTCCTTCCTCGTCCGCTGTTCACTTTCAATTTGTTCTGCGACTGCCCCCAATCCTCTTCATTTTCGTCCACGACACCCCCGCCCCGCTTACTTTCATCCACGACACCCCTCCGCCATCCACCGCACCAACACCCAACACACCAACTAGGGGTGGCACGGTGGCTCAATGTCAATGGTGAGTACTGTCGCCTCACAGCAAGAAGGTCACTGGTTTGAGTCCCAGCTGGGCCATTTCTGTGTGGAGTTTGCATGTTCTCCCATGTGTTTGTGTAAGCTTCCTCCAGGTGTGGTCCAAACACAAATGCTATAGGTGAATTGGATAGGCTAAATTGGCCATAGTGTATGAGTGTGCAAACTTGAGAGTGTATGCAGGGCCAGCACGTCCATAGAGGTGACCTAGAATAGTAAAGGCGGCATCCGCGACCCCAAACCCCCTGACCCAGTCCTCACTTTCGTCCACGACACCGCAAAATTTAACTTCGTGGCATTCCTGTTTTCACTTTAGGGTTGAGGGCTGCGTGATCATTGTTTGCCTAGAGCGCCAGTTCAGCTTGCTCCGGTCCTGAGTGTATGGGTGTTTCCCATTACTGGGTTGCGACTGGAAGGCATACATATGCTAGAATACTTGGTAGTTAATTCCGCTGTGGCGACCCCTGATAAACAAGCAACTAAGCTGAAGGAAATTAATGAATGTCAACACTGGGAGAACATGCAAACTCCACTAAGATATGCCAACTGGCCCAGCTGGGACACGAACCAGCGACCATCTTGCTGTGAGGCGACAGTGCTAACCACTGAGCCAAATGTCAAATATTTTAAACACCATTTATCAGAAAGAAGTTCATACTTACAGTCTTGTGCAACGAGCGGAGTCTCCAGACTCTGTGGATCCTGTTTCTTGGCTTTACTCCTAAAACTGCTGTCACTTGCACCCCTGAACACCTCAGCTTTCCCAGCATGCTCTTCTGAGTCCGCCAGCACTGTACTAGACTCTAAACTGTAGCGTTTGGTTTCGTCCTTCATCCTGGACACCTCCGAGCGATATTTCAGCGACAGAGAGGTTGTGCGGAGATGCACCCCGAAAGCACTCCTCCGCTCCTCGGGTTCCTCTTGCTTTTCACTGTCCACGTTTTCTGTAGGCGAATCGACCTTCTTACCATTAGTTCCTGGTGCTAGTTTAGACATGACAGGAGGTGCAGGAGCTTCTCTACGAATGCTCTTTGTATCTTCGATCTTCTCTATCGATTTCTGCATACGATAGAGAAGATTCTCCACTGGTTTTGTCTCTTTTTCTTCATCTTTAAGCACCTCTAGGTTGGAGTTAATAGTTTGCATCTTCATTTTAAGATCTCCTTCATTCAGTGTTGCATCGTTGTTTGTTTTGGAGCGATTTTTAGCAGATGCTAGCAAAAACTGTAGCGATACTGATTCTGTGGATGCTTTCGGAGATGGAGGGCTCTTTATCTCCACTTTTGGCTTTTTGGCTCGAGGTAAAGGCACTGGATGAAACCTAGTTGATGGTTCCTCTTTCATGCTTTCCTTTGCAACAATCTGTATATCATGCATGCCGTCTTTCTGAATGAATGACTCTGCTTCTATTAAATGCACTTCTGGAAGACCTGAAGGTGACGGTGGACCTGAGCCGAAGGGCATTGGCTGCAAATAAAGAGGATTCATGGTGAGTTTTCCTTCAGGTTCGAGAGACTCTTGTGATTTTAGGATTTCAGCACTCAGAGGTGTTAAATGAGGTGTGCTGAGCTTCTCCTCGTCCTCCTCCTGGATCTGCACTGGTGTTTCTGGAGCTTCTGGAATAGTGGTTTCTACTTTTATCTCCACAGTCGGAGGGGAATGTGAAAGATGATGCACTGTCTCTGTGGATGTCATAATTTCATCATCAACCTCATCATCATCATCATCATCTTTCTCAGACAGTATGCTGTCCAAATCACTGATGCTTTCTGAACGTTTCCTGGGAGAAATGGATACCTAAGAAAGAGAGATCAAAATGAGGTTATTATGCTGTAATCAGTGATCTTTTTGTACTCACATTTGTAACCCCAGCACCATGTTGATTTCACATAGTCCCTATAGCAGTGTTGGGTAGTAGCATATAGATATATTGTTCAGTAGCGCTGCTATTTATGATACAATGTGCTTTTTTAGATAACACAGAAATTATTGAGCAAATTGCATTATAAATGTGCTTTTTTTAGCCTCGTGCTCTTACCGCAGGCCCTCTGTTTCCTCTTGTACTGGCGCGCTGGTTTCTCGGTTTGACGGACATGCGATGGTGGGCAGCGGAGTTATCCAGTGTGGCTGTGTAAGATGCAGGACTACTGAAGTCAACACCTACAGTGGGCGTGGCCAATGATGAGCTAGAGCAGATGATTGACTGAGAGGATGGCTTGAAGACTGGGGAGAGTGGCCTGGATGAGGACTGGAAAAGATCACCCTGGATCAAATTAAGATTATAGTTAATAAGATGAAAACTGCCAGCCAAACGTATGGGAAGATTTTTTTTAAATGATTTTGAAAGAAGCCTTTTTTGCTCACTTCTATTCTATTCTGCTCTTAATGCTGCTGTTATTTAATTAAAAATACAGTAAAAAACTGTACAAATGTGAAATATTATTGCAATTTAAAGTAGTATTACTGAATTTGTTTTAAAATGTAATTTATTTTTGTTATTTAAAGCTTAATTTTCTAAAAAAAAAAAAAAAAATTGAAGATAGATTTTTATGGAGATTGTTATTATCAGTGCTGCATCATATTTTATTAATCTAGGACACATACAATTGTTCAAGAGGGAAAGTAAAAACATTTATATTGTAAAAAAATAATAATATTGTAATTTGTTTAATTACACTGGGAAAAAGAGTAATTTTTGGAGACATGTCCTGTGGTCTGATGGAACTAAGATTGAACTGTTTGGCAATAATGACCAGTGTTACAATTGGAGGACAAAGGGGAAAGTTTACAAGCCAAGGAACACCATCCCAACTGTGAAGTATGGGGGCGGCAGCATCATGATGTGGGGCTGTTGTGCTGCAGGAGGGACTGGTCCACTTCACAGCATAGATGGCATCATGAAGAAAGAACATTATGTAGAAATACTGAAGCAACATCTCAAGACATCAGCCAGGAAATTAAAACTTGGCCACAAATGGGTCTTCCAAACAGACCATGACCCTAAGCATACTGCCAAATTAGTTAAAATGAGCTTTAATGACAACAGAATGATTTTTTGGAGTGGCCATCACAAAGCCCTGATCTCAATCCTATAGAAAATTTGTGGGCAGAGTTGAAGCTTGTCCGAGCAAGACAGCCAACCAGTCTGACGCAGTTACACCAATTCTGTCAGGAGGAATGGGCCAAAATTCCTGCAAACTATTGTGAGAAGCTTGTGGAAGGATACCCAAAACATTTGATCAAAGTTATACAGTTTAAAAGCAAAGCTAAAAAATACCAAGGAAATGTGTGTAAACTTATGACTGTCTAGAAATTAATAAAAATAATAATAAAAAACTCTCTCATTATTCTGGCATTTAGAAAATGTAAATCATTTAGGTAATCCTAACGAACCTAAAATAGTAAACATTTAGTATGATTTTATTATCAGACATCTTTAAAAAAAATGGTTATGTTACTTTTTTTAGAGTGTATGTAAACTTCTGGTTTAAAGTTTTGTATGTGTATATTTACAATATAAATGTCTGCTTTCACTATTGAACAATTTCATGTGTCTTTGATGAATAAATTAATGATTTAATAAATGCAGTTATTTTGAACTTTCTTTTCATAAATATGTAAATTTATCCACACTTCTATGAAGCAGGAGAACAAAATGTTTACAACATCGCTCATTATAAGAATTATTAATTACCTAATGACTGACTACCAATAATAATTGATCATAATAGAACAGCAAATCACCAAACTAATGATTTCAGAAGCAATGATGTTGAAAATTCTGCTTTGAATTGCAGAAATAAATCACATCAAAAGTTTAAATCAGGGAATCCCAAAGTTTTCAACCCACGACCCCCAAAAGAACAATGCCAATGACACGCCTCCCCCAATATCCTCTGAGGTTGTTATAAATACACAAATCATGCATGCAACAGCGCACACACGCCAATAGGTCCAAGTCTATTCTAAAAGAACTTATTTGTTTTATTTTGGCTAGAATAAAAGCAGTTCAAAATTTTTTAAACCCATTTTCAGGTCAAAAGTCTACAGAACAAACCATCGTTATACAATAACTTGCCTAACTACCCTAACTTGCCTAGTTAACTTAATTAACCTAGTTAAGCCTTTAAAAGTCACTTTAAGCTGTATTGAAGTGGCTTGAAAAATATGTAGTAATATATTATTTACTGTCATCATGGCAAAGATAAAATAAATCAGTTATTAGAAATGAGTTATTAATCAGGGGGGCTAATAATTCAGAGGGGGCTAATAATTTTTACTTTAACTGTATATATTTTTACAAATATGACATATTTTTTTACAAATATGATGAGGTGTATGAATAGGCATAATTATTACCTGTTCTTCTTCTTCACTTCCTGTTCCTGCTAAACTCAAAGAGCTCAGATGTTTCCGAGGTTCGGGATACTGTAAGAAAAATCCCATTAGACTGCCATTCACTTTAAAGGGATAGCTCACTCAAAACGAAAATGTTCTTACTGGTACTAAACCTTTATGATGTTGTTTATTCTGTTTGACACAAAAAAAGATATTTGAAGAATGTTGGAAACCTGTAACCATTGACTTTCATAGTATGGAAAACAAATACTACGAACATCAATGGCTGCTTTTTCCGACATTCTTCAGGATATCTTACTTTGTGTTCAACAGGAGTAAGAAACTCAGACAGGTTTGTGACAAGTATGAGTAAATGATGATTTTTCAATTTTAATTCTGTCATCATTTACTCATCCTTTACTTATTTCAAACATTAATGAGTTTCTTTGTTCTGTCGAACACAAAAGAAAAGACTTTGAAGAACCTGTAACCATTGACTAGCAAAGGAAAAACAAATACAGTGGAAGTCAATGGTTACAGGTTTCTGGCTTTCCTCAAAATATCTCCTTTTGTGTTCAGCAGAAGAAAGAAACTCATAAATGTTTGGAAGCGCTTCAGAATGAGTCAAATTACAGTAAATGTACAGTAAAATGCTCAATTTTGAGTGAACTTTCCCTGTAACTATTCATTTATGGTACACCCCCAAGAGGTGATTTTAAAAACAAACATGAACAAAGTGAGAAAGGTATGATGTAATTTCAGTTAATTGCTGTTTGCAGTACCACATATGTTTTGGGTCTATGATATAAAGGAAAGGTACTGTATTGTGAATTAACCATATAATATGTAAAGATGCCAAAAGGGTAAAATATGTCTCATTTAAAAAGAACAGATAAGTAAAAGAAGAAATAAGTTAAAGTAATAGACAAATGATGTGTTTGGAAATGGCAACACAGGCTCATTCTTTAAACATACCCCAATATACATTTCTTAAGAGTACCAAATACGTCCTAGGAGCTAGAGGTATAATCGGGTCATAAAAGATTTCGGAACGGAATCAAATCAGTTTTCGTAACAGAATTGGGCCCGAGGCCGACAAGTACATTTTGATTGACCAGTTTTTAAAAGCCTAAACCTGTTTGCAGCCCGACGAAGCTCTTTTGCACACAGCTCTATGCTATCTTTTCTCATAAATGAGTCGTTTATATGTGTTTTAACATAATTTATTCATAACAAACGTAGGCTATAGGTAGGCCCACACTGAATCTGTGCGTGCAGAATTCCGCAGATTTTTAGCCCATCATTATTTGTTTATTTACTTGTGTAAATGTGTGTATATTTATATCAATTCAGTTTTTTTTTTATCAATTTCAGTAATATTATTGACTAATATGAAAATATTCATATGATTTATTTGCAATACAGTTGGTAAAGTAATATTTTACTAGATATATTATATGAGAGACTTGCTTTGTTTACTAAATAAAGTGGATGTAATTGAATTTGCGTTGTAAACATTAAATAAAAGTTAAAAAGGTATTTTTTTCATATATAAAGTTTTTAGTTATGATACCCCCAAAACTATTCGGCATAAATCTGCAGATTTTCAACAATATTTTGCGCAGAATAGCAGATTCTGTCTGGCCCTAGCTATAGGCCACTTGGAAGTTGGAACAAAGAAATAAAATAAGTCCTCTGTAACATTTTAATAATAAATGTTAAAATGTTAACATTTTAAATTGGCCAACACCAATAAAAATAAGTCTTTCCAAACAAATTAAATAAAAATAAATTCTAAATTATGATGGGTATTTGGCAATAATGAAATTGAGAAAAAGGTTCTGTGGGATTTGTTTCACCACTTCTCTTCACAATCTGGTCTTAAGGCGACGGAGCTGAATATTGAAAGAATAATGCCAGCATTAGCCTGTATACTCTGACTACATTATGCATTTTTGATCAAATTAATATTTAGTTAAAATTTGAAAATCCTTTACTCACCAAGATTAGGCTATGTATTTTTGGGAAGGAATATTATTGAAGCGGTGCTGCGCTTACTGAAAGGGATGAAAGTGAAAAGGGAGGGGGGTGGGGTGGGTGTCGTGGAAGAAAGTGAAAAGTGAGGCGAGGTGTCTAGAGGGGGATCGGTAAAATGAGGTGCCGGATCAGATTTCAGAGGTGCCGGATCCATATCCTTGTTCCGACACAAATTAAGCCCTGCCGTTGTTATGGTCAACTCCTCTCCTCTCATGTACAGTCCGTACTTCACATACCGAGCTACTAGACAAACTGGTAACAGCGGGAAAGCCGTCCATACGGTGGTAAGCGGAAAGCTGCTAGCGCGAAAAAGGAATGGCATCATACCACCCTGTAGCGTTTGTTTTAAAGATAAAATGTAGCCATACTTACTTCTGGGTACATAATTCGCAATCTCCAGAAATGTATATAGGGCTACATTTCAGAAAAAGCATGTGTTTGGAAATGGGGTGGGGAAAATAATAGGTTTATGCTTCATTTCGCTCCATTTTGACCATGATGAAATGTATTTTGCTTAAAGAATTGTTTAAGTGTATGATTTATTTGTTTAAACTCAAATCAAATCAAATGGTCAAAGTTAAAGTCTGCAACCTTGTAAATGCCTCCATGCATCACTCGCTCATACAAGTAGGTTTCCGGTGGGCTGCAAGGTAAACCATCATCCTCTGAAGTGGCTCCCGAGTCCTCTGTGCGCTTTCCAGGAATCAGCATTGGAGGAGGACCCAGATGTAAGTTCTGCTGTTGTAGTTTTAGCTGCCAAAACGAAATATAAACAGCTTGTATCTGATGCACACTTTGCTTAAAGAGTAGATCCAAAAAATACGCTGACAAAGAACATTTACTTACTTGTAAGGCTTTAATTTTGCCGTGAACGTTCTCTTGTGAAAGCACTCGTGTGGGTTCTGTGCTCTGGGTTTGATCCGTGAAGAAGATGCTATCATGAGACAGCGCTCTGGGGCTCAGACCCTGTGGATACCTGCAGATCAGATTCAGTGAGTTGTATTAATCTATTTGCTATTCAAATATATTACATACAGTCACAATTAATCACCCTCCTGTTCATTTTTTTTCTTTTTCAAATATTTTCCAAATGATGTTTAACAGAGCAAGAAAATTTTCACAGTATATCTGATAATATTTTTTTCTCTGAAAAAAGTCTTATTTGTTTTATTTCAGCGAGAATAAAATTAGTTTTACATTTTTTAATAAAACATTTTAAGGTCAATATTATTAGTCTCTTTAAGCTATATTTTTTCGACCTAGTCATCATGGCAAAGATAAAATAAATCAATTATTAGAAATGAGTTATTAAAACAATTATGTTTAGAAATGTGTTGAAAAAATCTTCTCTGTTAAACAGCATTTGGGGAAAAATTTACAGGGGGCTAATAATTCAGGAAGGCTAATAATTAAAGAATTCAGACTTTAACTGTACACAGTTCTGAATAAAGGATGTAGATCTGCTAATAGATGTTTATTGAGTGACACACTGACACTTACGTGAACTCATCTTCAGAGTCGTCTCCTCCTCTTCTGCTGTCTGGAGCGTTGATGTCACTAGCGGACTGACTCTGCTTGATTAGCCCTTCGCTTTCCTTCTTCTTCAGCTTCCCAAAGAGACGAGTCTTCAGCTGCTTAAAACGAGACTTCTTCCTTCCTGGTGAACGAGCAGAAATTTCAAAAGCTTTTTTGATTTGATTCAACCTATTTTTTTAATTTTAGAATTCTATCTCAGTATTTGACTGTGGCTCAGTGGTTAGCACTGTCACCTCACAGCAAGAAGGTCGCTGGTTTGAGTCCCTGCTGGCATTTCTGTGTGGAGTTTCCCCAATAGTCCAGAGGCATGCGCTGTAGGTGAATTGGATAAGCTAAATTGGCCGTAGTGTATGACTGTGTGTGTGAATGTGAGAGTGTATGGGTGTTTCCCAGTACTGGGTTGCAGCTGAAAGGGCATCCGCTGAGTAAAACATATGTTGGAATAGTTGGCGGTTCATTTCTCTGTGTCGACCCCTGATAAATAAGAGGCTAAGCCAGAGGAAAATGAATAAATAATTGTGACTCTTCTTATTAGTCATTTGTTCGATTTTATCTTAAAGAGATACACAGTTCACCCCAAAACTAAAAGTCATTGATTATTTACTCTTCCGCAAGTGCTTCTAGAGTTTCTTTATTCTGTTGAACACACAAAGGAAAAGATATCTTGAAGTAAGCTAATAACTTGTAACTTGGAAAAGCAAATACAACTGAAGTCAATGGTTACAGGTTTACAGCATTCTTCAAAATATCTCCTTTTAGCTCAACAGAAACTCAAACCGGTTTTGAAAAATGAATGACTAAATTATCAATTTAGGGTGAAATATTCCTATAAAGTGGCTTTTTTTAGTTATTAACCTGCAAGCAAAGCGAATTTTAGACACTTTGCTTAATATTGGTCAATGGTCAAATTTCTAGTGAATAAATCAGAAACAACAGTGTTTACAAACCTGTGAGTTCCTCTGCATTCTTGTCCATGTCGACAGGGATTGATTCCATGTTTTAATCCTGCAGATCAAAATAAATAAAAAAAAAATAGACATTAAATATAGAAATTACAAACTTAAACACCAGACATCATGGAGGAGCTTCTGCTGCGTGTCTTGTGTTTAGAAGTCAGCTGATCAGAGTTACTGATACACTCTTTTTGCACTTTAGTACATCATTTCCTGCGTTCAAAGGTGGTAAACCCCATTCAAAGCATTTGTTTTGATCCTCTGCGATGCCTTTTAAGGAAGGAGCTGAGTATTCCAGTATACAGTATGTTTTAAAGTAGCTTGCGTTTAAATTAATTGTCAAAATATGGGTATTGATTAGGGCTGCACGATATTTGAAAAATCTAACATTGCGATATTTTGTTTTGCTGCGATATATAGACAACCTGACAAAAGTTTTGTCACCTATCCAAGTTTTAGGAACAGCAAATAATTACTTGACTTCTAGTTGATCAATTGGTATCAGAAGTGGCTTATATGAAAGGTAAAGGCCTCTAGATTATGCTTATTTTGCCAAAATAAAATATGATCATGCCTTGACATTCAATCATTTAACTAAATCAGTAAAGTCTGACTTTGCTAAGACTAAAGCCTTGTCACTTAACACAAATAGTGTCCAGTAAAGACTCAGACAGACTCAGACTCAAATTAATTATCCCGTTTAGGGAAACTAACATTGCAGCAAGGTGCCATAACACAGGCGAAGTTCCATGTACACATTAATAAAATATTACCACACAACATCCGTACATCATTATGTAGGTGCATCTCCCTCCCCCAGGACTCATTTAAATGACCTAATGGCCATTATTATAAAAGAATTTCTGGTTCTATTTGTCCTGCAAATAGGAATCCTAAAACGACGTCCTGATGGCAACAGCTGAAAAACAGAGTACAATGGGTGATCCGGGGTGCATAGGATACCCTGAGCTCTCTTTAGAACATAATTATGGTAGATTACCATTGGACCAGTTTGGTTAAAACCGATGATCTGTCTGCCACCTTCACCAGGCTACTCAGCCTGTTCTTACTTGACACACTCAGATTACCGTACCAAGCTACAATGCAAAAAGATAAAAACAGATTCACTAAATTGTTTATAAAACAGTGTCATCAGAATAAAACAAGAATGAATGAATCAACATTCTTGGAACAAGAATGAATATTGTGCATGACTCCCATGAGCTTGGAGGACTGCATCCATGCATCTCTGCAGTGACTCAAATCACTTATTAATAAAGTCATAAGGAATGACAAAGAAAGCGTTCTTGCAGGACTCCCAGAGTTCACTAAGATTCTTTAAATTCTTCATCATCTTACCTCTGACATGCTTAGTGGATGCTCTTCCAGCTGCAACCAATCACTGGGAAACATCCAAAAGGCACACTCTCATTTACAGACATACACTATGGACAATTTAGTCTACCCAATTCACATATAGTGCATGTCTTTGGACTTGTGGGGGAAACCGGAGCACCCAGTGGAAACCACACGAACACGGGGAGAACATGCAAACTCCACACAGAAAGGCCAACTGGCCCTGCCGGGACTTGAACCAGCGACCTTCATTCGGTATTTTGGGCCTGCTCTTTGATTAAATACAACCTTTTAATAAGTCATCCAGTGAACCACTTTCTGTTTGTGACCCATGAACGGATATAAAAATAGCTTCAGGCCATATACTGTAACTGTAAATAGTTTGGTATTACTAGTGTAGGTGTGCAGCTCCAGTACGTCACATTGCCGCATTATTGTATAAGGCCTATGACGTATACAGTCATTGAAAAGAGTTTTTACTTTGGTGAACATGACAAGGCACAGCATTTTCTTTCAAACCGCAGACTGCGCAAACAGCTCTGTCTCTTTTATTGGCTTTGTTGTGATCTAATCAGTGGCTTCTTGCAATACAAAGTGACTTCTAAGGAGAAACAAAGAGTAGTTCACTTTGGCCTGAACTGCGGTTGCCATGGTGGTGCACAGGGGGTGACGTGATTTTGGGAAACCTGGGAAACCAAGCCCTCGTCTGAACTTTTAGAATTCATTACCCACAAACACCCACACACACACTTGTACAGCTATCTGTATGGGAACTTCCCATAGACATAATGCTTTTTTATTATTATTATTATTATTTTATTTTAAACGGTTTTACAATGTATCAACAGGACAACACACAAAGAAGAAGAAAAATAATAATAATAAAATAAATTGGACCCCCACCCCCCCAAAAAATAAATAAATAAATAAAATAAAAAATTACATAAATAAATGAATAAGTGAGGGACATTTAACATAGTCAACACAATATTATGAATTAACAAGACATATTGCTTTTTGCACTATATTTTCTTTCCCTCTACTGCAACATTCTCAAAATACCTCGTTCTGTGTGATCTATGAGCCGTTTTCTTATCAGGGTGTCCCTAGTATTGCAATACTTGTGGGGACATTTGGTAGAGATGTAAGGAATACAAGGAGCACACACACAAATACAAGACCTAATTTCTCATATTCACTCCTTGGAGTCTTTCTGTAACAGAAGACCGACATTTACTGTTGGATTATCTCACTATACGTACAGTAATTTGTCTATAGATTAGATACAGTATTGTAGTTGATGTGCAACAATTTAGTTTTACATCAACACTAAATAATGATAAAAACACCAATAAAATTAAACATCAGTTTATCAGTTGTCATGGGTGTAACTTTATGTGTCCGTGTCCTCATAAGGTCTATAAACATATCATGAAATGAACCGCTGATACAAGGCTGGATGGATCCATGCTTTCATGTTGCTGATGCCAAATTCTAACCCTAACATCTGAATCTCACTGCAGAAATCGAGACTCACATATCAGGCAATGTTTTTCCAATCTTCGATAGTCCAATTTTTGTGAGCCTCTGTGAATTGTAGCCTCAGTTTCCTGTTCTTAGCTGACAGGAGTGGCACCCGGTGTGGTCTTCTGCTGCTGTAGCACATCCGCCTCAAGGTTGGACGTGTTGTGCGTCCAGAGATGCTCTTCTGCAGACCTCGGTTGTAACAAGTGGTTATTTGAATTACTGTTGCATTTCTAGCAGCTCAAACCAGTCTGGCCATTCTCCTCTGATCAACAAGCCATTTGCACCTACAGAACTGCCAGTCACTGGATATTTTCTCCTTTTCTGTAAACCCTAGAGATAGTTCTGCATAAAAATACCTGTAGATCAGCAGTTTCTGAAATACTCAAACCAGCCTGTCTGACACCAACAACCATGCCACCTTCAAAGTCACTTCAATCACCTTTTTTCCCCATTCTGATGCTCGGTTTGAGCTGCAGTAGATCGTCTTGACCATTTCTTGAGTTGCTACCAGCCATTGGCTGATTAGAATTGTGTGTTAATGAGCAGTAGGACAGGTGTACCTAATAAAGTGGCCCAATCAATATTTATAAAACTAAGCAACCCACAACGTTTTATGTGCTGTACATAGCCACGCATGACATGAGTGTTAGCATATGCACACACACCTGCTGCTCAGTCCTCAGTCCTTAACCAAACAATCTAATGACAGAATGCCCAGAAGTCCTGTTGTCCTTGCTGGCTAATACAGAGTCATAATGCCACATGCACAGGCTGACAAAAGAGCTAGAGCTAGACGCTACTGCTCATGATTAGCATCAACACAGTGCCAAACAAAAGACACTTGTTTAACCAAAAGATCAAAAATCAATATTATATGTAATAGTAGAGGATGGCGAAAACATCAAGAGTCGGTTTTGGAAGTCATCTTCCCTCAGGACGTGTAAATATAAATGTGTTTTGCATATTAAGAGAACAATATGGATGCAAGGTTTGAAATTAAAATATATAAAACATAGGACAGTTACTTTTAAATGAAATAATATTTAATTGTTAGTGTTTTTACAGTAATTTTGAACAGATGAATGAGGCTTTGGTGTACATAGTGCCTCAAGGCTCTGTACTTGGACTTCTTCTGTTATTTTAAATATGCTTCCTCTAAGCAAGATTATTAATTGTTTTAAATTAATATCCTTACAATGCAAAATGAAAATGAATGAAAGCATTCAATCGAAACTTCTTCTAAACTCACCAGCAGCTTTAAGTTGATGCAGAACGATCTCCCTCGTCTGAGAGCTTCCTATGTTTTTTTTTTTGTTTTTTTGTTTTGCTGGTGGTCTCAAGTCCTCGATAGTGTTAGATCTCTGACATCTGCAAAATGAAGTTTAAGAGGGATTAGAGCATGGCAGAAACACACGGAGAGAGAAAGAGAGACAGAAAAGACTATGTGTGTGTGTGTGTGTGACAGAGAGAGAGAGAGAGAGAGAGAGAGCAGGAACAGTTTCATAGGAACAGGATGTGAGGGCAGTAAATTAGATCTGTTGTAAACTGCTTGGGATTCTGTCATTGTAAGCTTTGGGGTTTGATGAGATCTATCTCAGTACATTGTCAGTGTACTCTTTTGCTTCTTATTGAAAAATAATTGACAGTTTTGATGATTCAATTCAATTCATCTTTATTTCTATGGTGCTTTTGCAATGTAAATTGTGTCTAAGTAGCTTAACATAGAAATTAAATGATAACTGAATTTCTGTAAATAATAAGTAAATGTCCTTTTTAAAGTGAACTACAAGGGATAGTTCACAGAAAACTGAAAATTATAGACATAAAAATACACTTCGAAGACAGCTGGAAACCTGTAACCATTGACTTCCATAGTATGTTTAGAAGTAAATGGTTACAGGTTTCCAGCTGCCTTCAAAATATTGTCTTTAGTGTGCAACAGAATAAAAAAGACTCGATGATGATTAAATAGTGAGTACATTTTAATTTTGGGGTGAGCTATCCCTTTAAGTTAACCTGTTTTCTTCTGAATATACCTTCCTGGTCAACTTTTTACATTATAATGAACTGAAGGAAAGTCCCTCCGAACTCAGCGATCTGTAATACAAGCCCTAAAACATCTTTTCCTCTGTAAGGGGTAATAATTACAGCTTGCCGGTGCTTTTCTCTTACTCTTAATAACATTAAAGAAACTACTGGATTTATTATTTGAGTGTAAAATAAATACAAATCTGCAGAACTGAATCTAAGTTAATAAATAAATGAATAAATGAACAAACGAATGAATAAGTGAAGGAATGAATGAATGAATAAATGAATGAAAAAGTAAAAAATAAATAAATAAATAGACAAATAAACAAACAAATAAATAAACAATTGAATGAATGAATGAACGAACATGAATAAGTTAGTAAATAAATAAATAAATAAATAAGTGAATGAATGAATGAGTGAATGAATGAATGAATGAATGAATGAATAAATGAATGAATGAATGAATGAATAAGTAAATAAATAAATGAACCAACAAATGAATAAGTAAATAAATAAATAAACAAATGAACAAACAAATGAATAAGTAAATAAATAAACAAACAAATGAATGAATAAGTAAATAAATGAATAAAAAATGAATGAATGAATGAATGAATGAAATTAATGAATAAATAAATAAATAAATAAATAAATAAATAAATAAATATCCAGTTCATTTTCTGGAATGAGCAATTGTAAAGAGCACTAGTAGTGGTTTTGAATTTGAATAGGTTTGACTGAAACTAGGTCATGGCTTTTTACCAAGCAACAAATGCCTCTTGGGGACAAAAATGGGCACCTTAAACCTCTGACTTTTGCAATCTGTTTTACTCCATTTAAAGCTCATTTGCATTGCAAAGATTTCATAAACACTGATGGCTCATTGCTGTGACATTATGACGAATAAGAGGTTACTATATATATATAAATGCAACAGATATATTATAAATATTTCTAATTAATTAAGTTGTACAAATTAATATTTCCTCATTTTACTATTCCAATGCCAATAACTGTCATTTTAGCAATATATAATGAGTGGCATAAATGACATTAATATTGTTTATGGCAATACATTATGTTGCAATATACCACACGACAAAAATTATATACATATCTTTAAAAAATCACAATTTTAAAGTAATTATTTCTTGTAGGAAATGTTATTAAGGCTGATCTTATTATTTTCAATTAATGGCCACTGAAAAGAGAACTTATTTAAGATTGCTTCAAGAAAACACCGTGTGACATCATTTCATCTTGTTTGTCTCTCACAGGTTAGCTTACGTTAACGCCGGAGAAGTTTCCCAGAAGACCTTTCCAAAAATAAGCTCCAGATCAACAACCTGCACTTCTTATAAATGTCAACAAGATTTAATGGAGCTTCCAGCCTGTTTCTATAATGACACTTAATGCATCGTTTATGAGAATCTAATGAAGCAGGCCACCATATGTAGATGGCAATGGTTTTGACCCAATGTAACTTAACACCCTGAGACTGCTCCAGAAATGGTATCTCTTTCTCTGTCTGGCTTCTTTCTCTCAGATTCGACCTTCCCCTTTCTTCAGCAATGAATGCATCAATTCAAGTACTGTATTACTCAGGTGAAACGCACTCTACTCTGTCTGCACATTCAAGGCCATCCGTCTTCATTCACTAAAATCACTAGAAAAGCTTCTGTTGTGCCTTTTCGGGTCAGCTATGAAATGTACTTAATAATACATCCTGTATAGATATTATTACATACATTCCGTCCGGAAAGTATTAATAGCATTTAACTTTTGCCACATTTTTTTATGTTACTGCCTTATTCCGAAATGGATTCAATTAGTTTATTTCCTCAAAATTCTGCACACAATACCCCATCATGACAATGTGAAAAGGAGTTTTATTGAAATTGTTGCAAATTTATTAAAAATAAAAAAACCTGATAAATCACATGTACAGAAGTATTCACAGCATTTGCCCAATACTTTGTTGATGCACCTTTGGCATAATTTACAGCCTCAAGTCTTTTTGAATATGATGCCACAAGCTTGGCACACCTGTCTTTGGGAATTTTTGCCCATTCCTCATTGCAGTACCTCTCAAGCTCTTTCAGGTTGGATGGGAAGCGATGGTGTACAGCTATTTTCAGATCTCTCTAGAGATATTTAATAAGATTTAGGTCTGGGCTCTGGCTGGGCCACCCAAGGACATTCACAGAGTTGTTGTTAAGCCACTCCATTAATATTTTGGCAGTGTGCTTTGGGTCATTGTCCTACTGGAAGGTGAACCGTCGCCCCAGTCTGAGGGCAAGAACACTCTGAAGCAGGTTTTCATTCAGGATGTCTTTGTACATTGCTGCATTCATTTTTCCCTCTATCCTGACTAGTCTTCCAGTTCCTACTCCTGAAAAACATCCCCACAGCATGATGCTGCCAACAACATTGCTTATAGGGATGGTATTAGACTGGTGATGAGCGGAGCCTGGTTTTCTTCAAACGTAACGTCTGGCATTCACTCCACAGAGTTCAATCTTAGTCTCATCAAACCAGAGAGTTTTGTTTCTTATGGTCTTAGAGTCCTTCAGATGCCTTTTGGCAAATTTCAGCCGGAGAGCAAGTTCCATCTGGCCACTCTACCATACAGGCCTGATTGGTGGATTGCTGCACAGATGGTTGTTCTTCTGTAAGGTTCTCCTCTCTCCACAGAAGAACACTAGAGCTCAGACAGAGTGACCATGTGGTTATTAATTACCTCCCTGACTAAGGCCCTTCTCCCCCGATGACTCAGCTTAGATGGCCGATCAGCTCTAGGAAGAGTCCTGGTGGTTTCAAACATCTTCCACTTACGGATGATGGAGGCCACTGTGCTCATTGGAACTTTCAGAACAGCAGAAATATTTATGTAACCTCCCCAGCCTTGTGCCTCAAGAAAATCCTGTCTCGAAGGTCTACAGACAATTCCTTTGTCTTCATGCTTGGTTTGTACTTTGACATGCACTGTCAACCCTGGGACCTTATATAGACAGGTGTATACCTTTTCAAATCATGTCCAATCAACTAAATGTACCACAGGTGAACTCCAATTTAGCTGCTGAAACATCTCAAGGATGATCAGTGGAAACAGAATGTCCCTGAGCTCAATTTAAAGCTTCACGGCAAAGGCTGTGAATACTTATGTTAGTGACAAACTGCAAACTTTGGGTGTTTGGAGCACATTAGATATCCTTATAGCTAACATATCGATACTAACATCTAAAAACCTTAAGTATGTTTATGTAAAGAATCATGTCGACAAATCATGTTATAAAAATGTAAATATAACATATATATGAGATTTTAAAGTATAGAAGTAGCGAGTATGTGAGACTAGACCCAATACACTAAAGAAATAATAAAAGATTTATTCACGCACGTTTACCTATATAGCATTAATCTATTTCCTTTTCGGGAAAGCGCGGTGCTCGCTCTGCAAACATTAACTTAACAGAGAGAGTGACTAATCTGCTTGAACATTAACTGTTTTGAAGATACTCGACCCCTCCTAAACACAGCTTTCATCTTAATCCAAACTGACCTTTGGATTACAATCAGTTTAGTGTGCATGAGCTTCCACACAGACGTCCTTTCATAGCAAACATCACACACCTGTTTAATACAAGATCAAGCACAACACGATCATCCCTTGAAAAACAACACTGCGGAGGAAATTATGGACAAAAACATGATAAAGTAAATGAATATGCCAGGATACTGATGTGATGTGGTCTATAGTAAGTTATAACACTATATTAACAATAACACGCTCAAAAAATATGTTCAAACTACTGATTAAAATGAGCTGAAACAACTAAATTCTTGACATTTCTAAGCAAAAACTTTACCGTTTTTAGTTCAATTCACTTACATTTGTTAAATTAGCAGTAGAAGAAAGGTAATATGTAAGCCAATTGCTACCAGTTTTCAACATCCTTCAAAATATAAATGTATGTATATTGTGTGTTCTACAGAAGAAATAAAGTCAAAACTTTTGAAATAAGTGGTTGGTGAGTGAATGATGACAGAAATGTCATTTTTGGGTGAACTATCCCTTTAAAATGCACTTTAATTCACCAACTAGGTAGAGCATTTGTGTGTCATTCAATGATCTAATGCACACATGCTTAAGTGAGCACACTAACTATTGCATGACATCAAAACAGACAACATACAGCGAGCCTTATGCAGCGTTACTCCTTCAGAACAAATGAACAAAACAATGTGTGATAGATAGATAGATAGATAGATAGATAGATAGATAGATAGATAGATAGATAGATAGATAGATAGATAGATATATAGATAGATAGATAGATAGATAGATAGATAGATAGATAGATAGATAGATAGATAGATAGATAGATAGATAGATAGATAGATAGATAGATAGATAGAAAGAAAAAAACAATGG